GGTCGATTGAAAGACTTTCCAAAATTCAGGGTAGCGCACATTTAACAGGCCTCAAGAAAAAACTTGGGCCTTGTCGCGCGTCTCTCCAATCATAGAAGGCTTCTGGCCTGTGGGCTCAGAGAAACACATCGGCAGAACATATATGGAGAACAAATGAAGCTTAGCAAACCTTGTCCAGTCTTCTCTTCTTCCAACGCCGACTTGAAGTGTTTCTTAATCTGTTGGCCGGGATCAAAGCTGACGGGAGGGTTTTGGGCAAACTCCAAAACAACCGCTTCAACGCACATAGGTGGCACCACGTTGGGAAGAGACGTTGAGTGAGCAGCATCGCACGATTTGGCTTGAGGTGGCCCATCATGAAACAGAGGTTGTGTCTCTGCCGTGTCCATCGGAGAACCTTCCCAGATGTATCAAGCCAACTATCAAACCATTGAACGATTGACGCGTAAGGCATGTCCATGAAAGCAAAACAAAGAATCGCTTCAATACGATCGGCCTTGAGGTGCAGTGTCTGCATCGGATTTTGGAGGTCTTGAAAACTTTTTAGCGCTGAGCGAGGTCCCAACACTGTCCTTCAAAGCCTGAAGCCAATCCCTATCCTCAGGTGAAAGCGGTCCATACAAACAATAAAGGCCAAATCCCAAAAGTGGACACTCAGGGTCACACTTTCCCTCGTGTAGTGTTGGCCCGCTTCTTCTGTCTCACAATATAGTTTGCCTGACACGGGGCTGAACCTTCAAAGCAAACAGGACTGTGAACAAAAGAAATGAGGATAGAATTTCTATAGTGATCATTCACACATCGGAACTTGCAATGGTCATATGTCCATTGTACACATTGCTGAAAAGAGGCCATAGTCTTGATCGCACAGGCTTGAGTGCTCGCAAGGGCTGGATCTGCATTGTCTCCAAATTTTACTTTGATGGTATGCTCTAACTCATCTTGACTGCAAACCTTTCCGATCTGCTCAAAAGCCCGGAGTGTCCTTGAATCCAATGTGACGAGTCACAAGGTTCAAAAAATGGAAACATCCTGGTGCAAGACAAGACTAACGCAAACATGGCTCGTGCCCAATATGGTTGAATTGTTCTGCAACAATTGTGTCCGAAGGTTCGTGTCCACGGCCTCAATGTCCACTGGTTCTTCGAGAAGAACGACAAATTTATCCTGGTAGGATTAATGGAATGCCAACACCAATAAACACGGACATCTGCAAAACATATCGTGTTTGTGTCCTGTGTTTCGGTCGCTTCGGACCACGCATCAAGTAGAATCTGGTGCCAGCCATTGGCCACATATGCGTCCAGCGGGTTTTTCGAGGGCATGTCCCCCGCCAGGACCCCCCGCGTACCGCGGCTGAGCATACACGGCTTCAAAGGACGCCCCGTATCATCGAAACCCGGCAACTTCGAAAAAAAATTGTCCACACTTCACGACGCAGACGCATGCGCACGCACGCTCCAAAACTACCGTACACACTGTGTACAAACACACATCTGGACTAAGTCCAGAAAATCTTTTGACCAAGCAGTGTGGTCACTATACGGGTTCATTATAAGCACCGGTGTCTAATCCAGGTGTCGCGCGGTCGGGAACGGCTAGTTCGCTGCTTTTTACAGTACATTAATCATGCCTCTCGAAATCATTGAAGTGCCTTTCGACTACTTTTTTTAATTAAAGCACGCCCAGCGCAGAGGTCATGACGCTCAAGCGTCACTATGTACAAAAGTGGGCCTTCCGTACAGTTTTTTTTGGTCAATGCTTATCGTACAGGGCACCAGACTCTAGAAGAGTCCACTTCTTTGGACAATGTACAAAAA